GTCCCAGGCAGGAGACACACACGGATACCTCAACACAGGCACACTGCCCCCTGGTGCTGCTGAGGGGGAATTGGCACCTGGGAGAAGGGGCTACTCCAGCCCAGGAGCCCCCGACGCTGTGTGCACCTGGCCCTAGGGCCCCTCCATCCATGCAGAGCTCCAGTCCAGTCACACCAGCATCAGGAGGACAAACCCTGCTCCTGGAACTTCACTCCTTGTTGTTGCTGGGCAGGGCCTGGAGCACTCCAGGCTCTTCTCTGCTGCTGCTGCTGCCCAGTCAAATGGAGCCCTGGCTCTAGTTTCTCCACTGTCCCTCTAGAGAGTCTGGAGCAAACAAGGTGGGGCTCAGGCTTGAGCCCCAGGAGGCAGGGGCAGCTGTCTGTCACGGGATGGAGCAAGTGTGGCCTCAGCAGATCATAAACAAACCGAGTTGCTGAGCACAACCAAGTCTCCTCCCAAAAGGGCACCCCAAGCACCTCGGGCCACCTCCCCTGTATATGGTCTTGGAGCCCAGCCCCAAGAGGAGGGAGACTTCTAACGTCCACAGGAGACTCTGTGCTTCTTCCTTGTTGGGGGGGGGGGGGGCTTTGTTTCCTAGAGCCGGAACACAGAGAGTCTGTGGAACACGGGGACTCAGGGAGGCTCACAAGCCCCAGCAAAGATCCTAAAAGCAGCTAAGCAGCCTTGCCTTCCTGAAGGGGTGGGGGACAAAGAGCTGCCCCTCAAAGCCCTTTCAAAATAGCACAGCGAGCTGGACTTCTGAAGTCAGCTGTCATGCCAGCAACAGGGGGATGCAAGTGACCTTGGAAGAGGCCAGGCAGGACACAATGCCTGACTCACCCTGCATAAGCCACCTCCAAAAACCCCAGATCATCCTGATGTCGAAAGACTGTTTAGCGCAGTGCGAGGCAGGCATCAAGAAGAAATTAAACTCCAGCTTGGAGGAGGAGGGAAGCCCGGGCTGACAGGAGCGGCTGGGCTGGAAAGTAGAGGGAGAAATTCCTCAAGTTAATGCTTTTCAAGGCCCCCCGGGCCACTCCCAGGTCTTGTCTGAAGCTATTTACTTCCAGGGGGGAAAGCCCTATTGATCTTCATTCAGCTCCTGTCTGCTCCTACAAGGCGGTAATGTCTCGGCGCATCACCAGTCACAGTAAGAAATTCCTCATTGTTTTACACACGGCTCCCAAACTCAGGAGATGAACGTTCAGGACCATGTGGGTGAACTGATCGCAGAAGATGCGGACAGTGGACGGGGCTGGTGGGGGGATCTCTGGGGAATGGGATCTCATTCCCCAGGGACAGACTGCTACGCTTGGCCACTGGGCTCCCCAGCCCAGGCTTGGGGCTCGAGGCTCATCTGTCTTGCTCTGTCTGTGGATGCTCGGATATTCCCGGGTTGAGCCAGCCTTCCCTGCCACCCCCACCCCCAACACATACACCTGCTTTATGTCTCTGCAGTCACTTGGCTCTGAACCTCCCCCTGCCTCGCTAGAAAGCATCATCATCCACTAGAGCTTCCCAGCTGCTGCCTCCACTGTCTGGTTCCCTTTTCAAGTCCCAAGCTGGCCCTCGATCCTACAGTGTGCATATAACACAAGGGAGCCTCAGGGAACCACGAAACCTACAATGTCACGGGCAGGGCAGTCCCCACCAGTCTGCTGTCAGAGGTACTTCAAAGCCGCAGAATATCTTGAACTGTCACAGCCAACCCAACGGGTAACAGATGAGGAAACTGAGGCTTGAGGCTGGGGAGAATAGTGTGATTTGACCAAAATGGCTTAGTAAATGGGAGAAGACAGAGCAGGAAACCCAGGCCTCCTAGCTCCCACCCTAGGGCCCCTCCACTTCAGCTTCTAGGTCACGTAACCAGGAGATCCAGATTCCTACGTGAGGTCAGTAAAGCCCGTCTGGCTGAGAGGACCCGTGCATTAAACTGCTTTCCATGAGTTAAGACCAGAATCCATCTCAACAATAATAACGATGATAACAGTAATAATAAAATGCTGAACAATATGCCTTGAAAACCTTCAATGAGCAACACTTGATAATCACACGCAGATACATCTTCCACATATTCATAAAAAATAATCAATGATCATTTTTTCCCGCAGACTACAATCCAATTACTCTCTCTCCCTCGCTCTCTCCCTCGCTCTCCTTTGTTACTTGCAAACCATCCAAGCAATCAATGCCTTGACCTCTCCCTCTGATAGACACAATTACAAAAAGACAGAGCAATGCAATTCATCTATTCAAGATGGATTGTTTGAACACTCTGTCACACTGCTGAGCTATCCATCTCCTTGTCTAAGAGGAAATTTCAGCCCCCAAAACACGGCACAAAGAGAGGGGCGGGTATGCTGCTCCCCAGCCCAGAAAGCCCCTCAGACACCTGCAGGAAAACCCACTTCCAGGCTGGTGTTCAGGGATGCCTGCCTGCTGGAGGGCTCAGCTCCAAGCACAGGGGGCTCAGGCACCCGTCTGGGGAACCAGAAGCACCCAGCATGCTCCGGAGTCCAATTTCCAGAACCTCAATTCCTGCAGCCCCAGGCAGAGCCCTGGAATCCCATGAGTGGATCAGAAAAGGAAGGATGGTGTCAGACCCAGCCAAGGCAGTGTGTTTGGGTTTCGGCATACAATTGTGTGTGTGTGTGTGTGTGTGTGTGTGTGTGTGTGTATGCGTGCAAGCACCGTGTCCACACGCAAGCACCATGTCCACTGTGGATCCCTGGCTCCAGCTAAGGCTCCAGCCTAGGCTCAGAATGATGGGAGTTGAGCTCCCCAGGAAGCTCCAGAGAAGCCCAGAGGCCTTAGAGCCTTCCCATCCTCCGTCCAAGCTGGCACAGCTCCAGCGGTCACGTTTGGCATCTGCACAGCACCCCAGTCCTCGGGCTGGGAATCAAATGGGGCAGAGCTCTCAGATATAAATGGCTTGGGCCGACACGCTAATTAATCCTGGGGCTTAATACGAAGAAGATTAGAAGAGAGGAGGGCTTTGCCATCCTTAATTGCATTATTACAAGCTGAACCCAAGAAAGGGCAGGCAGTCTGGGGCTTCCCCTCAGAGCAGGGAGGAGCCCCCAGTGCAAGTCAATTTCACAGTAAGAGGGGGCAGGTAAGGATACATCATTCTGCCCCTCCTTGGCTCATCCTTAGGGGCTGTCCTCATCTGCTCCTGACTTCCCTGGCCCTCAAAAGACCTCCATCCCTGAGGCAGGGCTACAGCATAGCCAGCTCCCCTCACTCCCCTGCAGAGGGAAGAACCATGGAAGAGGAACCTGCAATGCGTGGGATGGGCACACAGCACCTTTTGGTCTCCCCTCCCTCCTCCCAAGGGCACCCAAAAAACAGGGAAGGAAGGATGGAATAAAAGAAGTGTTGGCCCACTACTAAGGGACTGCTTGCCCCTGGAATGATGACCAGACTGGGAACTGGAGAAGGCAAAAGAACTGAAACAGAGGACGGTGTTTTTTTGTTTGTTTGTTTTGGTTTTGGTTTTTTTTGTTTGTTTGTTTGTTTTTGGTTTTTTGGGGTTTTTTTTTGTTTGTTTGTTTTGTTTTTTTGTTTGTTTTGTTTTGCTTGCAAGAGCAGCCTGAACTGCAAAGGGTTAAACCTGACCGTGAGGGTTGTCCCCAGAGCCCCGTGCTTGGACTCCTCTGCCTGGGGGCGGGGGGGGGGGGGGGGGGGGGGGGGGGGGGGGGGGGAGTTGGATTTGAGTGAGTCTGTCAGTCCCGTCGGCATGGATTGAAAGACCCCGGCGTGGGCAGCGCTTGGGAACTGCTCTATACCCCCATCCCGATGTTGAGTTCAAGAGATTGTGGGGCCCAAGAGCAAGCCACGAAGACAGACCCCCACCCACAGATTCCTGACCGCCTCCTAGGAAAACCTCAAATACCGAAGCCAAGCCCCACCTTGGTTCCCTGCATCCCCTCACGCCTCTAGCAGTCCGCGCGCAGAGAAGAGCCACAAGGGAGGAAGGTGGCCCTGGCTCAGCAGAGCTCAGCCCGCCCGGGGCCAGAAGCTGGTGGTGGCGCCTCGAGAACCCAGGCGGCCCAAGTGTCCGGCCTGGCGGCGGGCGCAGGACCTGCGTGGCCGAGGTTCCCGCGTGGCCAGGCCGGGCCCAGCCCTGGCGGGCGCGGGCCTCACACCCGGAGGGCCCCCCGCACGGCCCCCCGCACTGCCCAGAGCGCTGCCTACAGGGCTCCTGGGGCGGCCACAACAAAGTTAAAGCCCCGAGTAAGAGAAGAGAGCGGAGACGCGGAAGCCCGGGAAAGCCGCGCGCAGCCCTGCCAGCCGCCGCCAGCTGCGGAGGGATTTCGGCTAACTTTCAAAGCCGCTCGCATCCCTCCCGCCGCCTTCCCAGCCGCGGCGGGTAGGCTCGGTCGCTCCCTTCCCCCAGCCGCGGGCGACCGCAGGAGCGACCGGCGGGGGGCTGCCCCTACTCTGCCCCAAGCTATCTGGCCGGATGGGGCCCCCGAGGACGTGGGCGGCCGCCGGGAGAGGAAACCCAATGCCCCCGTCCTGCGAAGCCGTCGCCCGCGTCCCCGCCGGGGCCGCTGGAGCCGTGTCCCCGGTGGGGGCGAGGGGTCTGCGGGGAGCCAGAAGGCAAGAGAAGTTGGCGCCTTCCCCAGGGTTCCCGCTCTGCGGGGAAGCCGGGTCCCAGAACTCGGTCTGCGGCCGGTCGTGCTGGCAGTCGCGGGGGAATGCGCCCGCCACTCGGGTTGGGGCTGGAACGCTTCGCTACTCTCAGCCGGGTCTGGCCTCTCACTAGCGCGCCAAGGGCCCCTCGCCCGCCTCGGCCCGGCCGCCTCCTCCCCCACTAAGTAAGGCCCCGTGACCCCGGCTTTGGAACTTTGTCCTCACCGGGATGAGCTGCCGGTGGTCACCTGGCCCCGGCTGCCCCGAGAGGTTGGGAAAATCTCTTGGGATCGCGTTCATTGGCCCCCCCATTTCCGCCCCCGCCCGGTCGCACGAGACCCGCGGCTCCGGGGAGCCCTTACCGATCCGGATGACGTGCGGCATCCCGCGCGAGTCCGGGATCCAGAAGGCGCACACGAGGAGCCCGGCCCAGTATTCCCAAACCAGACTCCGGAGGCGCCGCCAGGGAGCGGTCATCGTTGGGCGCCGCCGAGCGTGCCCGGGGCGCGGCCGTGGCGGGCTCCCTGGGGCGGCAGCTCTAGGCGCGGGCGCGCAGCAGCCCCCGAGGCGCCGCCTGGCCCAGCTGCCCGGCTCCGGAGCGCCGCTGCGAGTGGGGGGCGCCACGCGGCGCCGCGCACATCTTACTGGGGGGCCGCCCCGCCGGCGCCCGCCCCGCCTGGCTGCCGCCCACGGGCCGCCCGCGAGCGAGGCTCCTGGGCTCCGCCCGGGCTCCGCTCGGACTCCGCTCCGGCTCGCTTCGGCTCGGCTCCCGCGCGGGCTCCCACCTGCCCTGGCTGCCGGGCGCTGGCAGGCGGGCTGCACGCCTCCCCGGCCGCTCCTCCTCCAGCCGCCGCCAATGCTATCGCCCGGGCTCGCACAAAGCCCCGGAGTGGAGTTGCACGCGCGCACACACTCCCTCCCAGCCCCCTCCCCGCGCCCTGCCTCCCGCCTCCCGCGCCGCCCGCCGCCCGCGCTCCCTCCGCGCACTCCCCCGCGCACACACACTTCACACTCACGCCCGCCGAGGCGTACACTCGCGCGCTCACACCTGCGCAGGGGGCGGGGAAGGGGACCCTGGACCCGGTTTAGGGGGACGCCCGGAGAACGAGGACTCTCCTCGCTTCCCAGATGTCCCCATCCGCCCTGCCGCCCCCAGTCCCTTCATCTGCGAGGGCACGGAGCCTGGGAGCCGGGCGTGGAGCAAGAGAGCTGGCGCCGTGAGCTGGGCGACGTCGGCAGCCTAGCGGCCCGACCAGCTGGAGGAGACGCGCCCGCCGGAGCAGAGGGACGCGGAGCCCGCCGTCTGCGGAGTCTCTTTTCCCAGCTCCCACGCAGCGGGCTCAGGCTGGACGGCGGCTGCGGGAGACCGACCCGGGAAGCGGTTGCCCTTCTGAAGCCCAGCCCTCGGGGAGGCACAGTTGGGGCTGGGGCTCCGGGGAGACAGATTTCGAAGAGAACTGTGCACGCTGGGCTAGGGGAGCTGCAGGATCTGGTAGGGGTGGGACTGCCCAGGCCAAATCCTCTGCCGAGGAAGGCAGGACTTGACCTCGCACTGCAGCCACAGACAGGGCTTTCGGAGGAAAACGACTAAATCCTTGGACTCGGAGGGCATCTGAGATGCACCCTGGTACTTCCCATCCGTCTTTCCCCTACTATGCAGAAAGGGCTAGCTCCCTTCGTCTCCCCCCCCCCCCCCCCCCCCCCCCCCCGCCGAGAAAAGAATAAAGAGAAACTGTCATTTCCGTGAGATGGAGCAAGACCCACGGGGAGCAAACTAGAAAGGGTTAAAAAGAAAAAAAAAACTTGTTTATTAGCAATAATAATTTTTTTTTTTTCAAGTGGCGCTGGGTGTCGAGGGAAAGGAAGGGCTGTGAAGCGAATCTGGAGCAGGAGGCTGGGAATTACGCAGTTAGGCGAGTTTAATGACCTTTTTGACAGAGACAAAGCGGGGCTGATACAGTAGATAAATAAACGGATCTGTCACCGGGCAGCAGCTAGGCTGTGTGTGAATTTATTTTTCTCATTTAAATAATTTGATCTATTCCATCATTCCCAATCTCTCCCATTTGCCAGCTGTCTGGTAAGAGCGTGGCCCCCAACATCTGAAAAGCGAATCTTTAATTTTCTTACAAATAGCCCATCAGTCCAACTCTATTCCGGCTGTTAATTTCTCCGTCTTTACTTTCCCTTGCTTTCTGGAAGTAAGGGACGTTGGCATTGTGTGGCGATGTGAACATCCCAGCGTGGCCAATCCTGCCCATTGGAAGGGGACTCTTTCCCACCTGATGGGGGAGGCAGCTCTGGTGGTGGGAGGAGAATTTCCCTGGGGCTCTTCTGAGAAGGGAAAGAGGTGTACAGGTCTTGAGGCCATCCTTAAAGCCACCTTCTTTGCCAGACCTGGGCCTTCCTCACCCGTCAGCAGGAGCCACTGGTTCCCCTAAGCAGCCACTGGAAAATGTTGCCCAAGAGACCAGAAGGAAGGCCATGCAGACCAGAGCCAGAGAAGTGGCAGCTGCCACCTCTTGGTGGAGAGTAATGGGCCCCAGTGGGCACCAGCAAGGAGGAAGCACATGAGAGGCGAGCAGAGGGTCCCACCTTCCAGGACAAAGCTGGGGGAGCCTCTTCATTGAAGATGGGACACCCCATCCTCATCACTTGGGTTAGTTGCTCCAAGGAACCAAAAAATCCAGGCTCTTCTCTAAGGAAGGAGGAGATCCTAGTGTCCTAATGGGGGATGGGAATGGGGATTGGCAGGACCTGAACTTAAGGCAAGGGACGGAGGGCTCACAGAACACCACCAACAGCGCCCCAGGATGGGTAGGGGTTGGGTAGGAGGGGAGAGCCTGGATGCTAGTTCTGTTTGTTTGTCCTGCAAGCAGCCTGTTGCCAGGAGAGGGGTAGGGAGCAGGGAAGAAGTGGCCTGGCGGGGAAACTGCCCAAGCAAAAGGGGAGAGGGGGGACGTAGGGGGAATGGGCAGATCTGCACCCTAGATTAGAAGCCAGTGAAAGGCCAGTGGGAGGGAGGGAGGGATGAAAGCTGGGGAGCAGGAGAAGGAGCAGCCTCCAAGAAAACCAACACCAGAGAGGGACTAGAGAAGTCAATGGATAAAGGCAGAGGGGGAATCTGAGGGCACCAGGGCATGATGTGCCCCTGGCCCCTGCGGGACCCTCCCTCGCCCCTCGCCTGGTCCAGGGAAGGAGCAGGAGCTGGGCCTCACTCCTGCCGCATCCCAGAGTGGGCGGGTGTTAGCCAGCGAGTTCTGCGGAGGGAGGCTTCCCTCTGCTGCCACGTTGGCTGCGGTGGGAAACAGCCTCCAGCTGCAGAGGCTGTGGGGCTAATTCAATGGGGCCCACAGCCCATTGGGAGCCCTGGGCTTAGAGGGAAGCCAGCTGTCCCTGACCCAGAGCTGGGCCTTATTGTGGACCTAGCTGCAAGCCCTTTGGTACCACGGTGGTCTTCCCAAACTGACAGCAGCCGGCTCCCTTCCGGTCTGGGAAAGGGTGGGTTGCATTATAACAACAGAAACAACAGCAATGGTAATCATGACTGCTAGTATTTATTACATGTCTTCTATATTCCAGACTACGTACTCACGCAACATACCTTACGTTTGTGCATCGCTCCATCTAACCCTGTCCGCAGCCTGGCAGGTTAGAATCCTTGTGATGATTGCATTTTTCAGTGAAGACTCAGCCTCAGGAAGGTTAAGAGGTCCAAAGTCACACAGCTAGTATGTGACTTCCTTCTTTGCCCTTCCTCTCTCCTCCCTTCCTCCCTCCCTCCCTTTCTTCCTTCTTCCCTTCCCCCTTCTTCCTTCCCTCCCCTCTACCTTCCTCCCTCTCTTCCCTCCTCCCTTCTATCTCCCTCCTGCTCCCTCCTTCCTCCTTCCTCTCCTTCTCTCTTCCTCTTCCCTTCTCCCTCCCTTCTTCCTTCCCCTCTTCCTTCCTCCCTTCCTCCCTCCCCCCCTTTTCCACCTTCCTCCTTCCTTCTTTTTTCCCTCCCCCCTCCTTCCTTCCTCCCTTCTTTCCTTCTTTCTTGTCTCCTTCCGCCTTCCTTCCTATAATACACATCGGCCATCACTGCCAGGTACTGTGGGAGAGGAGCCTGGGTCTGCATATGGTCCTTTCTGCTTCTTAAACTTGTAGGCTTGACTCTTGTCTTGTCCTGCCTGGACTGAGCAGGGGACAGTCTCTAGCAGAAGATCCCCTCAGCTCTGCTGGAGGCCCACTAGGGCTTCTGGCTGCTTGAAGGAAAGGCTTAGAGTAGAATAGGATTTGGGCCCTTTACTAGAGGGAACTGGAGCTCCCCCAAGCTCAGGTGGAGAAGCCCGCAGCCCCCTCTCCCTGCTGTGGTGCCTCTTCCAGGCTGTCCTGCCACCAGCAGCCACTGAGGCTGGCGGGCTCTCAACTGCATCCCATGGGATTGGGAGCCACCAGTCCTGGCTTTTCGAATTGTTGGTAAACAAGTCTACCCACCAGCCAGGGCTCGGCTCCTCGCTCCCCCACGAGGCAGCCAGCGCTGGATTTATGAGGCCTCCAAACCTCATTCAGACTAATGCAGCTTTTCATTCCAAAATAAAAGGGGCCGCTGTCTGAAAGGACAAGTGCTCCCGCATTTCATTAACATCCCCGAAAATGGCTGAGCTGGCCCAAGTCCCTGCCAGCGAGATTCATGTCTCCCGCTGGCTCACAGGTGGGGGTAGGGGAGGAAGAAGCCCTACCCGCCCCGGGCCCTCCCGGCCCCTCCTGGCTTCTGCGGGAGACTCCCAGGGGTGGCCAAGCAGGCTCATTTGGACAAGTCCCCTGTGTGTGCATTTTGTTTAGACCGATCCACTCCAGCCCTCAATCCCCCCACAATCACGGTGAGTGATGAGGCCCTGGGCTCGAGTTACCGAGATTCATGATCTCCGCTTCCCAGGGAAACCACCGAGCACCGGCTTGCGGTTGTTGAGCGCAGATTCCTAGCACTGGAGTGCCCTCTGCTGAAGCCTGCCTCCCGTCATCTCCCTTCAGGCTGCCCGGCGGGCTGGCTGCTGGCAGCGGCTGGCCGCTGGAGACCCAGGGCCCCCTCCTGCCAGTGTCCCACTACCCGCCCCGCTGTTGCTGTGCACATCTGCCTTCTGGGTGCCTCCTGGAGGACGAGGGAACAGGCTGCCTCACCCCCTCTCACCCCAGAGGGTCCTGGACCAGAAGGAGGCCACCGTCAGCCCTCCCCAGATCTTTGCCAACTGCCAGAGCAGGGAGGAGGAGGGAGATGCCCTCCTTAAACCCGTGCTTGGCTCGCCAGCATTCTCTCCACGGCAAAGTGGGTCCAACCACAAAAACCAAGCCTCCACCCTTTACAGGACACCGAGACTTGCCTCTGGGCCCAGGGACAGAAGACTCATTCTTCAGCCTGGGGCCTTCGGCCTTCATCCCTGTCCCAGGAAGGGAGAAGCACAGCAGCGGCCCTGCTGTCTCCTGAGCAGGTAACAAGC